AATCAATCCATCTCCCTGAGGGTCTTCTTTTTTTGCTCTGTCCTTCCAAGAATGACGTTCTTCTCCAAAGACTGGTCTCTCCTTGCAACATGCTCAGAGTGTGTCAAATGAAGCCTCCTTAACCTCTAAGGAGCAGCCTGGTTTCACCCTCTCTAGAATGAACCTGTTTGTCGTTCTGGCAATCAATGTTTTGTTCATTATTCATCTCCATCACCACAGCTCAAAGGCATCAATTCTCTTTCTGTCATTCCTAGTCACTGTCCAACTTTCTGACACATAGCAAGTAATTGTGAAGACTATGGCCTGGATGGCCCCCAGGCCTGCTTTTTGTGGATCTCCCAAATAAATTGGAAGCAGGAGTGGCATCCACTCCCCCCCCCAAAAAAAATTAAATCTATGAACTTGGAGAAAAAAATGAAAATTTTGTGTTCAAGATTTTCGTTCATAGGGTTGCTATGGGTTGTCGACGGCTCTACGGCACTTAACAACAGCAACAACATGGCCTGGATAGAAATTCTCAGTTCTGAACACAATGCCTGATTTGCTGGTTCCAGCATCTTGATCATCATCTAGTGGGACATGAGGTTAATTGGCATAACAAAATCTAGAGAGACTGCTTTTATTAGTAGCTGCCATGTCTCCAGCAGCCTTGTAAGGTGCAGTTACTGGTCTCTCTCTGTCTGGAACAGATAATGAGAAAAGAAAGCAAAGACATCAAGATTCATAGCCTCAGAAATCCAGTGGGGTGTTGCTGTGAGCTGGAGTGGTCCTGACACCAGTGGATTTGGTTTGGGTACAGAAACAGTCTGAAGGGCTAGTGACCAACATGAACCTGTGACTCTGAGGCCAGAAGAGCTGCTTGGTGTCTGGCTACGATTCTAAAAGGAATCACAGTGGATCCTGCGAAGAAAGGCAGAAAATAGGGAACAACACGCAAAAGCATAAAAAAGGCCATATTTCCTCCAATACTGGTCACCGTTAGTCACCCTTCAAATCTGAGACAAAACTTAGTCTTGTGGGTCACGTTTGAGTCAGCCAAACAATAGAAAAACTAAGGAGGTGAATTCTACCACTAGAGAGGCACTGACTCAGTCGGTCAGCAGCCGTATAAGATCAGAAGGCAGCATCTGCTCCCAGTAAAGCTCAGAAAGTAGCATGAAATAGAGGAGAAGCAGGAATGGAAATGAGCAGAAGTGGGAAGAGTGAAGAGTATAGTTACATTTTAAGTGTTATAATGAAATTATAAAGCAGAATGGGTATAAATGAGTAGGAAACCAGTTTGTTTTGTAGACTTTTACTCAGATCACGCTAAAGAAGAAGAAAAAACAAAAACGAGTGCAGTGTGAAGTTATGAGGTGTGCTTTCCAGCCCACAGAGTATGGTGGCTGCCTGTGCTGGGCTCAACAGCTCACAGAGTGAAAAGGCACAGGAGCCATTCGTGTGGGGTGAGGTGCCTCCAGGTACTTAGTGACAGAGCTAAAGAGCTTTGTAACACGTGAACAAAACAAGGTACAGGTCAAAAGCAAGGACCCAGTGACAGGAACTAAGAAGCTGTTAACTTCCAAGTTGTTACTGGCCCCGAATTACATCTTGTTACTTCCCTAAAAATTATGTAATCATGGGTAGTAGTCATGATTTCTGTGTGGTCATTGTTGTTGTTATGTGTTGTCAGTCGCCTGTGACTCATTGTGACCTTGTGTACAACAGCCCTAAACCCTGCCCTATTCTGTGCCAGTCTCACTGTCTCTGACACACCTACCCCCTTATCCCAGTCACTGAATCAATCCATCTCATCAAGCGTCTTCCGGGTCTTCCTCTCACTGTTCTGACTGGTGTCAAATTTGGTGAAAAGTTTGGAGAGAGGAGTTTTGTATGACCTGCCTTGCAGGAATCAGGCTTGGGCTGATAAATGTTGGCAGTGACACCCTCATTCTCCACCCTTGAAGTTAGAGGGGAATCACATGTGTTACCATTTTTACAGGTATGCTTGATAAGAATTGAAATATTCCAAAGCTTTAGAAAAATATGTAGTGTTTCATAAGACTTATAATGAATTACATAGAGAAGCAATGTGAATTGAACCCAAAAGGAAAATTCTTTTCTTTTATGTTTGCTGATGTAGAATTGATGTAGAGTAAAATGTTACATAATTAAAATGATATGGTAACTTCAAGGTAGTAAATAGTTTCATTATCTGTAAAAGTGTTACCTGTAGGCATTTTAATGTCCTCCTGCCCTCTTATCTTATTCCCTGGCAGCTGCTGCTCCTTCATACTCCTTTCCATTTCAGTCAATTTGTGTAGCTGCTGCTGTTACTTGTCATTGAGTTGATCATGACCCCATGTGTGTCATGGTAGAATTGTACTGGACAGGATTTCAAAGATTGTTTGCTTTTGAAATGTCTGTTTCCTGAAGCACTTCTGGGAGGGTTTAAACTTCGATCTTCCTGCATAGTAGTTAAGCACTTAATTGTTTATGCTACTCTCATACTCTTTATTTAAATTTATTCATACAGTGTCCAGGTACTCTTTGACTTGCTACATATTCAAATTAAAACTCTTAACTCTGTAACAAAACACCTGATGGTGACAGTGGTTAAATCCTTGTTTGTTAATTGAAACATTGGTGGTTTAAACCTGTTAGCTTCTCTCTGGGCGAAAGATGTGCCAGTTTGTGTCTATAAAGGTTTGTTGTTACATATCATTGAGTTGCCTGTGACTCATAGCAACCCTCTTTACAGTAGCTCTCTGTAAAGAGGCCTCACAAACCCTTTGAGGCACTTCTGCTTTGTTCTGCAGGGTCTCTCTGAGTTGGAATTTTACTCAGTGGCAGTGGCTTTTGGTATGTTGACATTTGCCATTTAAAAATTCTCCATATGTTCAGTCCTGTGGCATTAATTGTGTTTTTTTACGTATTATAGCCATCACCTTTATTTTTTCAAGTCTTTCTATCATCCTTAATAAAAACTGTCTTTCACCTTCAGTTTTACATTGTGTTGATATAGTTGAGAATATACACAGCAGGACATGGCAACTATGCAGTGGTTTCTGTAATACGTACAAGTTAGTGAAGTTGATTACATTCTGCAGGATGCGCAACCATTCTCCACTTTTCCCCCCTCATTAACATAACTCATTGGCCCCCTGAATGAGAAGACAGGCATAAATTAAGCCAGTTAGCTCGGTTATTCCCTCAGCTCAAGATCCGAACCTGTAGGCCAACAAATTGAATCCCACAAGGTGTTTAATTGTATTTAAGCAGCTTCAGTAAACTACTCTTTTTGTTGTTGTAGTTAGTGTATCTTTCAGAGCATTTTCCAGCTACTCTTTTTTCAGGTGTACAGCTTACTGACATCTATTCCATTAAAATTGTCACATCTTTAAGGATTCCTTTATAGTATTTTATTACTGGAATTAGTTTCCTTGGCAAGAGGAAGCTGGTGGCTTGGTCCTTAATACAGTACATAGCAGTACACTGTAACCCAGAGGTCATGCCTCTGGTGATTTGAGTCTACCAGTGACTCCCAGGGAGAAAAATGGACAGTCTTCTCCCTTGTGGTTTTACACTTCTGAAAACTCACAGGAGTAGGTTCCTACTTGGAGGCAATGAAGTAGCCTCTGTCAGACCAGTAGGTCTGGTCTTTTTTATGATTTTGAGCTTTATTCTACTTTCCCCTCCCATTTCTGCACTGGATCTCTGCAGTCTCAAACTAAGTGGTCAGTAATGGTACTCCCATTTTGTTCTTTTGGTGATTATAGTTTTTTTAATTTTTATTTATTTTTTTATTATAGTTTTTATGAAGAACTTCATTGCTAGCATTCTACTGAGTACTGCTGTTAACAAATTTGCATAAAACACTGTTCCTTTCCTCAAGGAATTTGCAGTACAGATTAACTGAAAACCAGTTATTTTAATGCTGTGAATGATGCCGTTTTGATGGTGTTCATAGAAGACAGTATGTTACTTTCTCAAAAAGGTGGAAATAGAAATACTATCTGACCCAGCAATTCCACTACTGGGAATGTACCCTAAAGAAATCATAACTGCCACTCAGCAGATATTTGCACACCCATGTTTATTGCAGCTTTGTTCACAATAGCAAGGAGTTGGAAACAACCCAAGTGCCCATCAGCAAACGAATGAATAGAGAAGCTGGGAATACTTCCAATGGAATACTATGCTGCATACAAGGAACTCATGAAATACTGTGCAAAATGGGTGATGCTGGAGGACATTATGCTGCGTGAAATATCAGTCAAAAGGATAAATACTGCATAGTCCCACTGTTGAGTTTTTTTGGGGGGGGGTGTTACTATTTTTTTGTGTGTGTACTGTCAAATCTGATCTGACAGGAGAAGATAGCCCCTCCTCCAGCAGAGCATCTGGTGGATTCGAATCTCATACCTCTGGGATTGCAGTGCAGGTTCTCACCACTAGGCCATCAGGGCTCACAGTGCCACTGTTGTAAAGCGAGACTGACATCAGGGTTGGGGGAAAACGAAAAGGGGTTAAATAACGTATACTACATGGAAATAGATGATGGAGAGAACTGTTTAGGAGGAATATATGATTAGGTATTATTGTCATGACAAGCATCCAGAATGAAAGCTACATAGTGGAGTGGACTCGGGGGCAGGGGGATTGTATAACCATGAAAGAATTTTTTTATTTTTTTAATTTTTTTTTTACTTTTCAGAAAGAAAAGCGAGCTGGGGGTGAGGGTTGGGCAGGGAGGAAAGTGTACAACAATGAATAAAGGGAAAACCAAAGTCTCTGTAAACTTTCATTTAAAAAAAATAATAATAATATTGAGGAATTTAAAAGGAACTATATGTAGTCCATTTCTAGAACAAGGTCTTTTTAACTTATTTCTTCCAGAAAAGATTTAATTAAGAAAGTTACTAAGTTAGTATCTGTTGTCTTTTTTGTGTTTCCAAAACTCAAGAGTTTAAATTTCATGTTAGAATCTTTTTCTCATATGTAATCTGTATAATTTTTAGGCAAAATGCTTCATGGATTTCAAAGCTGGAGGCACCCTGTGTCACATTCTTGGGGCTGCTTACAAGTATAAAAATGAGCAAGGGTGGTAAGTTTTTTTGTTTGTGATTTTTACATTGTTTGATGTTAAATTCTGTTTTTTTTTTGTTTTATGTAAGAATTCTGTTAGCACATTAATATGTAACATTGGGGGACCTCATTACTTTGTATTGAAAAAAAAAATCAAAAGAACTCTTGCATTTATTAGGCAGGCTATTTCTCATACCGGAACTCTGGTGGCAGAGTGTGGCAGATGTTGGGCTGCTAACAAAGGTTGGGGATTCAAATTTCCTCTTTGCTCTTTGAGGAGAAAGCCGAGGCTAGGAATCAGTCATAAAGATTGACTGCCTTTGAAACCAGTGGCAGTAGATTTGGGTTTTTGGGTTTTTTTTTTTAAGATCTTATTGTCTCATGTAGCTGTGTTTATAGAAAACAGAAGTATGTTCATCTGTATGTGGAAAAGTGTGTTTCTGAAGAATTAGACATTTACATGATGTAATTGTTAAAATGACTCAGTGCCACATTATGCCAAGGGTAGAACTGCTTGTTTTGTATGAATTGTCAGCTTTCCTTCTGCTCACCACCTTAGCTAACTCCTTAACTGTTTGTACCAACAGCACTTTGACTATATGATATTGTGACATTGTATATAGTATATATTTTATATACAAGACTGTGATTTATTGTTACCTTTGATGTTTGCTTCACTCAAGTTCGTTCCAGTTTATGGTGACCCAATGTGCAGAGGAGACCTGTTCTCCATGTGATTTTTAAAACTGTGACCCTTTGAAAGTAGGATTGTCTTCTGAGGTGCTTCTGGATGGATTGGAACCTTAAACCTTATAGCCAGTAGTTGATTTGTGCCAATAGCTTGCTCAGGAGTAAATTTACCTAAAGTTCCCTAGGAAAAGAAAGTCTTTTGTTGTCCAGGTTTTTGCTCCTACTTGAGTGTTTATGCTAATGATTGAATCTTGAATAGGGACTAGTCATGCCACAAAGGCCTGCTACTGGTATGAGCCTTAGTGGGCAGGAGACAAATTGCATTAGGTAAATATGCTGCTGTTAGGAACCTTTCCAGAGTACTGAGAGGCAACGATTTCAGTCTAGAGACTAAGGTGCACCTGATCCACACAGCTCTGCATCAGACAGCTGGACAGTGACAAGGATGACAGAAGAGGAATGAATACCTTTGAGTTATGGTGCTGGAGAAGTCTTGAACATAACATGGACCTCCAAGAAAACCTTGGAATTTCTCCTTGAAGGCTAGGATTTTGAAGCTCCATCTCACATACTTTGGGCATGTGGGCAGGAGGGACCAATCCTTGGAGAAGGCCATCATGCTCGGAAGTATGGAGGGACAGCGCAGGAGGGGAAGACCCCAGATGAGATGGATTGATAGCAGTAACTAGTGGGTAGAGGTGTCAGAATCAGACTGCTCAGGACAGGGCTTCAGAGCTGTTGTGTACATAGGGTCGCTTTTAGTTGCAGGTGACTTGAAAGCACGTAACAGTAACAACTGTGCAGGAAAGGGGTGAGCTGAAGGATGAGCTCAGGTAATGATTAAATCTTTCAAGTCTACTTAATGACACTTCATTAACAATGCTGGGTACTGGATGAACTCCATGAGCTTCTTGCCTCATGATAACATCCATGCTCAAGTCTCTATAATTTCCTAACTATTTTATTACCTGTTCCTAAGAGTAGAGTTTTGGGGAGAAAAAAAAATAACTATAGTAGTATTATCACAACTAAGAAAACAAATTCTATAGTGCTATCAAATTCCCGGTGTTTACATTTTCTTTATTATCTTAAGAATGATTTTTATTCATATTTTGAGTCAATATAAAAATGAGGTTCATACATTGCATTTGGTAGCTAAGACTTTTAAGGCACAATCAAAAAAATTATGTAATTTTCTTTACCTGTTTCTTTTTACAAATTTTAATTTTTAAAAACTCCATTCCTCTTAACAGAATTGTCCACATTTTGGTTTGCTGATGCTCTCCTAGGATATTGTTTATCTTGGACTCCTAAATTTGTTGTAGTAAATTGATACAACTATCAAATGTGAAGATATTCAGCTTTTGTAATGTATAGAATATACATTTTGAATATAGATAAAATAGATCTTTAGTGATACATAGGTAATTTCTTACTGTGAAAGAATATTTTTCTTGTTTTTATCGTTTATTAGTTGGTGTACTTTTCCTAAAGTGATACTTTACTCATCAATAATTGAAACAAAGCTGTTGCGTTATGACAGTCCCACAACCGCCATGTGTATTTATAATAAAGTCACAATAAATATTCTTGATTTCTTCTCTTTTTGAGTAGACTCATTTAGCTTTTATCTTCATTTACAGTTAAATCTACCTGTTTTTATCTGGCTAATGACTGCTTTCACATTATTTTAGGCACAGCATCTGAATTATTAAACAGTTTCTTTTTGAATAATAAATTAAGTGATGAATCGTGTATTAATCTCTTATCAGTACCATGTGAAACAAGGTAACCATCTGCATTAAATCACAGAGAATCGTAAGAATGACTCTAGAGAGCAGTTGATTGGGGTTGCTATTAAGACATTTCTACATGCAAATAGTTATGTAATCAGCTGTTACCTGAAAGATTGTTGCTTTGAACCCCTATGGAGGTGCCTTGGAAGACATACTTCTCAGAGGTTCTCAAGGCAGTAGAGTCATAACCAGTTCATAGCCACCCTCCATTGGCTTTCCAAGTCTGTAAGTCACATGGGAGGAGATGGCCCATTTTTCTCCTGTAGAGTGCCAAAAGCCTGGGGAAACCCTGTGGAAATGTTTATGAACTTTGTAAGCAAACCAATATAAAAATTTAAGAAGAAGAAAAAGAAGATGATAAAACACAGAGAAAAACACCCTGCATAGTTCTGTTCTGCATGTATGGGATCCCCATTAGATGAAATGATGATGTTCGGTGCCGCCAAGTCAACTGTGATCAGTAGCAATCCTGCGAACAACAGATTCGAATCTTAAGCCATTCTGCACCATCCTTACTATCTGTGCTGTGCATGAGATAGATGTGTGAAAAGGAGTATGATATTAGGGAAATACATAGTAAGGGATTAAGATGTTAGAAGCTTGTCAGAAATACCAGTTAGTTGTTGAAAGAACCTCAAGAATTGTTAAATCAATCTTCCATGATATTTAATATCTAAAGGCACTGTACTCATGTCTAAGAATCATTGGACAGATGGTTGCCAGAGAAATGTTAGATATTTTTTCTCTTCTTAAGAAATATTTACACTTACCTTGGATTTTTTTTTCCTTACCTTGGATTTTTAACTTTCAAATGTAAGATTTTGGTTCAGTTCCTGGTCAGTACACTTCAAGCACAGGTAACACCCATCTATCATTGGAGGCCTGTATGTTATTATAGTGCTGAACAGATTTCAGCAGAGCTTCTAGACTAAAGCTAGGTAGAAAGGCCTGGCATTCTAGTTCTAAAAACCAGCCATTGGAAACTTTAAGGATCCCATATGTTGGATCCACACCTGGTAAAGGGAATTTTATAACATCAGGCATTTCATTCCTTGGCACATAGGGCTGCCGTGAGTCAGGACCCATCTTGATAATAGGTAAAAATAACAAGCAGTCATTAAAAGGCATGAATTTTTAGTGTTAATTTTTTTTCCTTCCAGTTTAACATGATGAAATGAATATTTGACACTTGTGTCTTAATGGCCCAGTTTTGGAATTTAAGTAGGCACGAACGGCCCTGTTTATTACTCCCAGTTTGTTGTGGTCACACTTATTGTAGGCAGATGTGTGTTGCAGCATGGAGAAGTGAGCACCAAGAGGTTGCTCAGGAGTAATCATCAGCTGCAGCTTCTTTTAGCTCCGAAAGGCTCATGAGAGGAGCCATATTTGATCAGTTCTTGAACTAATGGTCCTGCTGTTTACTTGGTGATGTGGCAGGGGTGACCTGCGATTCATATGGTTACGGCAGATGCCGCCTGTTCTGTTTTGCCAGTCACATGCTTTCTCAAGGTTATTCCACTCCTTTGTCACAGGAGTTAAAAATGCTCTGTGTTTTTATATTAGCACTTACATTAAAAAGCACAGCATACTTCATTGTTTCCTCCACAATTCTGAAAACTTACTTTGTTAATATAATTCATGGTAGCCACTCATTATATTTAGGTCGCTGTCATATCCTGTATTATGCAACCCCAAGAAAGTAGCTTTCTCCGTACTCTCCTTGGGCTTTTTTGTGGAAGGACATTTGTCTAATCACCGACATCATTTATGTGTTAATTCTTAATAATTAATACTTGTTCATTTGGAATACTCACAGCATTTACAGATTGTCATATTAAGGGATAATTTAGTCTTGACTGTTAGTGTAGTCAAGATTTTTTTAAAAAGAAACCTATTTAAATAAATGCATGTTATATAGACTAGACTAGAATAGAATAGAATATATGCATATTATATTTCTGGCAGCAGTAAATGCTCAACTGGCTTTCCTTTGAGCGAACACTAAGTGTTTTAAGCAAATGAGCTTTGTTATGAGCTTTTGAGTCACTTGTGACTCAGTAACACTGTGAGCTCTGAACAGTAGCTCTGAATCCTGCTCTATCGTTTGCCAACCGTATTGTCTCTGACACACCTATCCCCATTACCACAGTCAAGGGTCTTCCTCTCTTATGCTGTCTCTCTGTTCTCCCAGGCATGACATGACATCCCTTTCCAAGGACTGGTTCCTCCTTGCAACATGCCCAGAGTATGTTAGATGAAGTATCAGAATCCTTGCCTCCATGGAGCAGCCTGGTTTCACCCTCTTTAGGGCGAACCTTTTTGTTCTCCTAGCTGTCCATGATGTGTATGGATCTTATCCTGTCACTCACAACATTGTATTTCAAGATGGATCTAGAAATTGCTTTTTTTTTTAAATTTTGTGTGTGTGTACCGTCAAATCAGATCTGACTGGTACGGGAGGATATTGCGCCTCCTTCTCCAGCAGAGCGTCTGGTGGATTCGAACCGTGTTCCTCTGGGATTGCAGTGCAGCTTCTTGCCACTAGGCCACCAGAGCTCCCCTCTAGAAATTACTTTTTTAGGCATTTAAGCAGCCCCATTTTTCCTCACCTTTTCATCTCTGACAGTAGTATATCATAAGATCATCTGATTAAAAATGTCTCATTCCAGTCTTATCTCATTTTGCTAGTACGTAGTACGTTCCATTTCTTTTTTAACAAGGTCCAATTTTCCTACATTATGCTTCTCACATTCCACGTTCCAAACACTAGTGTCTGCTTACATTTTTTCCTCTTCCTTTGTGTTTCCATATTTGAGGGCTCAGCCTCAGTTGTGTTTGGTTTTGTTTTTTTTTTTTTATGATTTTTTTGTGTGTGTACCGTCAAATTGAATCTGACTGGTACAGGAAGAGATTGCTCCTCCTTCTCCAGCAGTGCAGCTGGTGGATTTGAACCACATACCTCTGGGATTGCAGTGCCGCTTCAGCCTCAGTTTTAAGCATGTGTAATGAAGACTCTTGATTAGATGGATTGACTCTGTCACTTGGGTAATGGGGATGGACGTGTCAGAGACAGTGAGATTGGCAAGGCATAGAGGGATTTAGGGCTGTTGTACATAGGGTTGCTGTGAGTCGCGAGCAACTTGAAGGCACATAATAACAAGATGAAACATTTTAGAGCTGAGGAATCTGGACACTTGAGGAGTTTGGTGTCTCATTTTGACTGAGGTGGATTTGAATAACTTCTGTGAAAGCCTTCTTACATGACTGGGGGAACACTCATGTGTTGGTGGGTGCTATTTTAATTTCCAAATCTTCCTGATTCATTTGGTGCTTATACTAAAACCAAATTTTCAATTCTATTTAAGGTGCAAGACAAATGAGCTCATTTTATCTCTTGTAGGCGGAGGTTTGACCTACAGAATCCATCAAGAATGGACCGAAATGTTGAAATGTTTATGAACATTGAAAAAACATTGGTGCAGGTAACTTAGAAAACTAGATTTAAAAATATAATTTTAACATGGCTTCTAGTTTTAATATTCAATGTGTAAAATTGCCAAAAGATTACAGAAAATAAAATTTCAGATAGTCTTTTTATGGCATATTTGGGACTAGAGCTTTAGAAATGTGGTTGGTCTTGGTATTTTAAGAATATTGATCTTCTAATAAAACAATACTATATTTTTCTTTTTTAACGTTAATATTTCAGTCTCGCTTAATATAATCTTCTGCTTGTCACTTGCTTATGCAGCTTTTTTCTTTGGAATTTTTCAGTTTTATTCTATAAATGTCATTTCCCCATCCTTTCTTTTGAGCTTCGTTATAGTTTGGGTGACAGTTTATAAAGCAAATATATTTCTGTTTAACAGTTCACACATTTTGTTCTGGGATGTTGGTTGCATTCTTCTCAGTGCAACAGCACTTCCTACTCATGTTTTCTTATTTCTTTCATCCCCTTTTCCTGTCTTCTGGGTGTCATGTTGTTTGAGGGATGGTTTTTTTTGTGTGTGTGTGTGTCTAGATCTCAGAGCTAGATTATAACCTAGAGGAGAAAACACATAATATTTTTGTTTGTTTTTGCTGTGATTCTTTGTTTTTTTTATTGTTTGGAAATTTTTGTTGAGCATCAAATTATGAGGGGGAGGTATACAGCTGTCAAAAATTTAGCTAAATGTAAAAAAAAAAATTAGCTAAATGTTATCATTAACTTACCTCCTGTAATGAATTTGTTCTGTGGAATATTAGCTAGAGCAAAACATTGGATGATTTTTTTTTTTATTTAAAGTTTTTATTGTGAATCATGTGAAGGTTTACAGAGCAGATTCCTTTTCCATTCAACAGTTTGTTTCATGCCAGTGATTATAAACCTTACAGGTAACAACACTTACTTCTCTTCCTTTCAGTATATCTCATTCTGTTCCACCTTTTTTCCCAACCCTTCCTGCCTACTGAACTTTGCTTTTCATCAAGTCCCACCCTTTTGTTTTGTTGTTGTGGTGTTTTTGGTTTGTTTGTGTTTTGTTTGTTTGTTTGTTTTCCCCTTTTGTTTTTAAGTGTTGATTGTTCTAAGGATTTTTTTTTATCTCCCTAGTGGTAGTGTTTGCCTTAGAGACCTATTGTTTGACTGAAAATTGAGCCTCAGGTATGAGTTCACTTCCAGACTGGAAAGTTAAGTAGCCCCATAGTTGTGTGAATTCCACCAGATAGTATTAGACCAGTAAGTCTGATCTCTCTTGTTTTTGAGTTTTGTTTCACATTTTTCTTCCACACTAATCAGAATGTACTCTAATGCCTTTCAGAGCAGTTGGGCCTGTATTTTTATTCAGGTCTTAAGTTCATGGGGAGTGAGGCTCATGTGGTCCATTAGTCCATTTGCATAATTGTTTTTATGTCTCTTTGATAATCTTCACTCTTCTATGTCCCAGACAGAGGCCAGGAGCTGCCCTGTAGATGGCCAGTGACAAGCTTTTTTTTCCCTCTCACTCACAAGCTTTTAGGACACCAGTCACTACTCACCAGGAAGGTTGTAGAGCATTCATTTGTGAGTTGGTGTCATCCCATCACAACCGCCTGTGTAAACAGAACGAGCTCCTGCGCCATCTTTACAGTCTCTGCAGTACTTCAGCCCGTTGTCGCAGTCACTCTGTCTTTATCTCGTTGAGTTGTCCTCTCTTTCCTTGACCCCTCCCTTATTTCCAAATGTAATATCCTTCCACAGCCACTGCTCCCTCCTGATAACATGACAAAAATGGTTGATTTTTGTTTGTTTATTGATTCTTCCCCCTCATCTCCCAGGAATGATTTGGGCTTTATTGTGTTACATGTTTTAATTATAGGTAATTGTAAGATTAGGAGAGAGAAAATAAGTATAATCTAGTCTTTATTTTCTATTGCATATATGGTATGATGTCTCAAACTTCCAGAGAAAAGATGTTCAAATAAAAGATGTAGCTAAAAATACTACATTAAGCTATGAATTTAACAGAACTTGATATGAAGGATTAATGTGGAAATAGCCAACACTAATTTTCATTTTATTTAGGTCATTTATTCACAACATTTTGTGTTAGATGCATCTTAATCCAAAATACAACTTTCCATTTTAGGAAGTATGACAGTATTACCATTAGAGCAGTGTATAAATGATACGACATTATTTCAAGACCAAGAAAATCTCAAAGTCTGTTTTTCCTTCCTCAGAGTAATTGTCTATCCAGACCCAACATCTACCTCATTCCAGATATTGATCTGAAGTTGGCTAACAAATTGAAAGATATCATCAAACGACATCAGGTAATAGACACAGTCACTTCAGAAATAATGCATCCTATTCAGCCTGTGATAAATCTCAAGCATCATAATTTATTTCTGAATATAGCTGCATTAAAAGACGTTTTCTCGCTTTGAGAATTTTTTCTATTTGATTTCAGTTCTTAGGCGAGATAGTGCAGTCTCATTGTCTTAAAGTAATGCCATTTATTTGAAATCATGGTAGTTTTATGAAATGCATCTACATAGAGCTAAGGGGGAATTCCCCCAAAACCCATCTTCATCAAATTGGTTCTGACTCCTGGTGGACCCCTTGTGTGTTAGAGTAGATCTTTGCCCACATAGTATTCTTAATGGCTGTTTTCTCGAAAGTAGATCTCTGTATCCAAGATGCATCTGATGTCTCCACACTAACACACAGACACATGAGACCATTTGCACCACCCAGAGACTCCTAAACTTCAGGAGACCAGATTATTTGTATGACAGAACTAAAGTATTGCAAAATCAAATAGAGTAAAAATGGCTGACAGATTGTTGATGGCAGAAGATTAACTATTAATTGAATAAACCTGCTGCCTTTTCTTCCATTTATATGTTATATATATATATGGTTTTCTTTTGTTTTCCCCATTAGCTAACTTTGTCTTGGCATGCATAATACCTTTCTCCCATTTATGTAGGGCTTCATTTCATTTTTCCCATAAGCTGTATTTGTCTTGGCCTACATATAACAGTTTGGTCTTTTAGATATCCTTGGTCTTTGATTTCATTCCTAAACAGACACTTTTGAGTATTTACTGAGTGTAGCTTTGTGATTAGGTAGTGAAACTGGAACTAAGCTGGTGATGTGAGTAATAGGTTGAGGAAGCCTGGGTGGAAGATACTTTAGTGAAACACTATTGTGTAAGCAATAAAATTATAGCAATCCTTGGGACTCATTGAGAAACTTCATAAAATGTGTTTGTCTTTTTTATTACCGGAGAGATTGCTAGTTGAATTACGGTTTTAGCATTTAGTAAAGTATTTTAAAAGCTTTCTTTTTTTGCAAGCTTTTAAAGTGAATGTTTCCACTATTGTTCTCAGTCGGAGATTTGAGTTAGAGTTTTCGTCATATCTATAACATTCTTACCAAAGAGAAAGACAGGTCCAACAATCATAGTTCACTATCGCTTTTGTTAGAATTTGGCAGAACGTCCCCCCATTTCCTCCTCCAGCAGAACTTTTAAAGAAAAATGGAAACTTTTTTCCTTTGTTGAGCTGACTGCTTAGTATTGAAGTATCTATTTACTCTGGTTCAATTACATCTGTAGTGTTAAAGTTCAGAAATGGAACACATTAATTTGTTAGTCCTTGATTTAGGGCTGAAAATACTCTTTATCTTACTGCCAAATCATACTGATAAGAGTTTATATTTCCATAGTTTGTGCTGAATATTTTACCGCCCTATTATTTATTGTTTTCTAGGAATATCCTCCAAAGGGATATAAGGATTTGATTGGTTTTAATAGAAACCCCAATTTATAAAATCCGTAGATTTATCTGTTACCATTGTTGAATATTAAGTTCAAGGCTTTTGTGTAAAGCATTTTAAATGCAATAATAACTCAACATTGATGGACTGTTTACAGTGTATCTGTTTTTGCTTCATTGTATCTACTAATACCATTTTAACAAAATTTCTCTGAAGTAAATATTTATCATTCCATTATACAGAAGACATGAAAGCACAAAAATGATAATTTTCTCATTCTGAGTAAGATGATAGACTACACAGACGTCATTGATTTAGACTCTTTTACATTAAGAAACAGATACAGATGATAATTCTGGAATCTTGAATTTTAAAAAGAAAAGATAAAAAATACTTGCTATAATTAAAGAAAGAAACAGAATGAAAACATGAAATAAGGAGAGAATGGAAAACATCCATAAACAGCACAGCATGATCATTTTTCTAAAATGCTGTCTAGGGGAGCTCTGGTGGCCTAGTGGCAAGAAGCTGCACTGTAATCCCAGAGGTTCACGGTTCAAATCCTCCAGATGCTCTGTCGGGGAAGGAGGGACAATCCCCTCCTGTACCAGTCAGATGTGATTTGACAGTACACACAAATAATAAAAATTAAAAAAAAATGCTGTCTACGTATTTTGGGAATTAGAGACTATGGCTGTATCTAGGTGATAATTGACAGCAAATTATCCAGTCACATAAATACCTCCTGCTACTTCACACAGGACTTAAGAACAGCTACTGTTCCACCTAATTTACAAAAGACTGCAACAAATAGTAGTTTGCTCTGTCCTCAATGGGGCTACACAAAAAAGAGAACTTGCATATACATAATGATACTTCATCACACCCACCAGAAGACAGAATGTGAAAGAGAAAAATAACCAAACTAGTAAGTGAAGTAACATAAGCTATGTCAGACATGCCAGAACAAAATAATACAAAGACAATACCACAGTGTCTTGAAGAGAGAAGTTAATTATAAACCAGTCAAAAACTAGGACAAGATGGAACAGAAATGTGAAACATTGGACCAGAAACTCAGATAAAGAAATGCTTTTGAGATTTCCTAATTAGAAATTAGAAAGAATAATAGTTCACTGTCTTCAATAGATTAAGAAGATCACAAAAGAAAACAAAACAAAACAGAAAACCCAAGAATTTTAAAAGAATCCCACTGAAAACCCCACCATGATACAAGTCCAAACAGATAAAAATAAATGAAATACTAGAAGTCATATAAATAGCAAATTGAAATTCAGACTATCCAGACTAAAATTTCACAACTAGATAACACATTGGAAAGATAGAAGCAAAATGAAGACTACGACTCAGTTAATGAGATGGAGAACAAATCCATCAGTAGTAATCTGTTCCAGGAATAATCAGGGAAAAAAGACCATGAGCAGTGAAGAGAGTGTATCATGGGATAACATGAAGCGGCATAACTTTTTTTTTTT